TCCTCTTTTTGCTGAGAAAGATTGGCCCTGGGCTAACATCCGTGCCCATCTTCCTCTACTTTATATGGGATGCTGCCACAGCATGGCTTGACAAGCGGTGCATCGGTGTGCACCCAGGATCCGAACCTGCGAACCCTGGGCCGCCGAAGGGGAGCACGTTCACTTAACCACTGCGCAACCGGGCCGGCCCCCCAACTGCCTTTTATGGTTCTCAAACACCTCTTAAGAATGCAAAGGCTCTACCACAAAGCCTTGCACCCAAGGGACAGCTGCTCTTGGTATCAGGAATTCTGACAACTCACCTCTACTAACACCGACGTGTTTCCTTCCTGCAGCAGCCCAATCAGCCCTTCTTTAGTCTTTCTCCCATGGAGCTTGGCAGCTTTGCTCCAGCCCTCCTTCTGGGCCTGCTTATGGAGCCAGCTCTCTGCCTAGAAATTGAAAAGAAAAACGGCAGATGACAAAGTCACAGAATTTAAAACTGAATGGGGCTCTAAAATATGTTCAGATTCCCTAATTCTTTCTGCTTCCCCTCAATCCTATAACAGAAACTAAAGTAATCTATCATTTACTGGCAGCCTACCACTAAAGCCAAACACCGGACACTGCGCCTGCTGCTTTGGATAAGCTTCATCTTCACAACAACTCTACGGGGCAGATAGTAGTATTTTCATCATATAGACAAGAACAACGCAACTCGGAAAGATTAAGTAATGTTGTCCAAGGTCATAGGGTTAGTGTGAGGGCACCATGATTTGAGTCCTGATGCATCTGACTCCAAAACTAATACAAGCCCTTTCAGCTCCAAGCACCAGGAAACAGCCCAGCAGTCTTGCATGAAATAGGGTTTATGAATCCTGGGAACCTGAGTCAACTGCTTCCAAATAAGACAGACTCAAAGGGTGAGGTTGTCACTTATGTCCGAATCCTATCTAGGGCTCTGCCGTTATGGGTCATTCGGCAGCAGGTCTGACTTCTATGCTCCCCAGCTACCTCCCTAAGAGACTGAGGTCGGGCCCTCGTACCGGCCCTGCTCCCCACCACCCCAACCTGTTTGAGATCTCCGTCACAAGTCTCCAGAGCTTTCTTGCAGTTTACAAAGGAGTAGCCCGTTTTTCGCCGCAGCTTCATGAGCAGCTCCTTGCTGGAGGCCGAGGATGACAGCCAGGACCCGGCGTGAAATGAGTGCCATGGCTGGGGCGACCGAAGCAAAAGGGGCTCCGCCTGGAGGGGGTAAGAAGACAGGGATGAGAAGCAGGCAGCTGCGAAAAGCCCCAGGGGTGGAGAGCACGCGGGCAGGTGGGCGACCTTAGGAGAGCCAGGAGCTCAAGGAATGGGGGCTGGACCGCGCAGAGGCAATGAAGTCGGGGCAATGGAGGGATGGAGTCGAACGGGGGTTGGAGGAAGGGAAGCGTGCGTCCCGGGGGCCCAGGAGACCTGCAAGAAAGGCAGGTCGGTGCCGGGGCGAAGACCCCTCCCCGGCCAGCGCCGGGGCCGCGCGACCAGGCAGACGCTCAGCGCTCGCAGCAGCGACATCTCCCTGGCCGCTGTACACCGCAGTCGGCCGGCGCCCCGGTGACGTCACAGGCCGACGGCGTGGCGACGGGGCCAAACCTCTTCCCCGGACGCGCCAGACGAGCGTGGCGCCACCTGCTGGCCGGAAGGGCACACTCATCTCCCCTACTTGGCTTATTGAGACTAAGTGTCACAAGGAATTACCCCCATAGGTAAAATAACGCCAACCATGCGACAAAGTTGTCACAAAATAACAGTCCAAGACATGTGGTAACATTTTATGTTTCTTTATTTCCAATGCCCTTTCATATTCATCATCCATTTATGACTCATGACAAACTTGTGAGGTGGGAGGGGGGCGGTTCAGAAATTTGGCCAAGGAGGCCTGAGGAGGTAGGGGTGGAGTCCCTTCCACAAACCCAGTAAATATTTGCTGAATGAGCAAAATATTTGTTGCCCGTCAACTGCGTGCCAGGAACTGTACTAGCCTTCAGGGGCTCAGGGAGGAGTAAACCACAGCCCTACCCTCCAGGGTAATCTAATGGTGAGAAAATAGGGAGCCAACAAATGACACACAAGACGAGGTAAGTCCCATAAGATGAACAAATAGTTAAAAGGTCTCAAGGGAGAAGGAAATCACATCCAAACAGGAGGCTCAGGAAAAGCTCTTTCCAGGAAAGAGGCTGAGAGTAATGAAGATTCTGACAGGGAGAAATAGCCCTTCCAGGCAGGGAATCATCAACAAGAAGGAAGGAAGAAGTCAGAGGATCTTGGTACAGATTAGGGAACAGAGAGTAGACCTTCTGTAATTTGGCCAGAGGTTGCAACACATGTAGACACCAGCAGGCAATGAAGTCAAGGGTAATCTGGGTCACATGGGAGAGACTGAGACCAACCAGAGGAGCGTCTTTCTTCTATAGGCAGCAGAACCTAATCACAGCTGATTCTGGAAGATCACAAGAGTTTGCAGTGTGGCTTGAAGGGAGAGAATGGAGGCCAGGAGGCCAGAGGAAGGTGATATGTGGCCCAAGGAGTAAGTAAAGACAGCCCCAACCACAGGAACCACAGTGGGAAGGGAAAAGAGGGGAGGGCAAAAAACACTAAGAAGGAAGGACTGACAGGGCTTGGAAACCTAAAGAAAAATCAAAGAAGAGGAGAACCCAGTACTTAGTGATTAGGGCTCCAACTCTGAAAAGAGTGGAGAAGCTACAGTCCAAAGGAGAGCTCTGCTGCCGATCCCCAGTTCAGGGCTGGGAGGACGTGACCCAGTTAAAGCCATGGTCCCAGCAGACTCTATCTCAAGAAGCAAGAAGTGGGTGGTCTGAGGTTTCTTCTTCCCAGGCCCGCAGCAAAAGTCTGAGTTCTTTGGATGCAGGAAAGATCTTTAATGCTCATTTCTTTCCCTTTAAAAAAATTCCATTAGAATCTGGTAAAAAAAAAATCCATTCTGTATAAAAAGACAACAGCAGGACTGGAAGGGATCACTGACAGTCTCTGCAGCCACTGCTCTCACATCCATTTACCTCCCCTACCCCTAAAAATCCTGGATACCCTCCTGTCTTCCTCCTCTGAGAACAGGAGCTGGGAACTTCCTTTGTGCTCTACCCCAGTGCTGTGAGGGCTCTAGGATTCCTAGCAAGCAGGCGCCTCCCTAAGAATATCTGGGGAAACAGAGAGGGAAGGAGGAAAGAGAGAGGCAAGGGAAATCCATACTTTTGATCCTGTTTATGGCTTTGAAGATATGGCAGTTCCTTCCTTAGGACAGGGGCTCAGAGGAGCAGAAGGGTGACGTCAAGCAGGTCTTGGTTCCCTGTGTCTGGCCCTATAGATGTTGACATTCTCATCCTCATCCCGCTGGGCCAGCTCCAGGTGGAAATGCTGGGGCAGGAGGTGCTGAAAGAAGCTCTCCGTCCTGTGCTCCTCTCTCATCTTGGAGGCCAGATAGATGGTGCCCTGGGGCCCACACAGGTGTTGGAGGGTGCCCAGCAGCAGTGGGAAGGTGGGCTCCAGGTACACGATATCAGCCCCCAGCACCAGGTCATAGTCTCCAGGGAAGACATGCTGGTCAATCCCCCAGGACAAGGCGCGGACCTGGGCCCGGCCTCCAGTCGGCACATTGGCCTGGACGTTGGCCTGGATCTGCTCTAGGACCAGGGGCAGGTCAGTGATGGTAACATCCCCCCCTGAGAGAGAGGAAGGAGGAAAAATGCAAGTCAGAGGGACCAGCCACAGGGTCTCGGCTCCAGAGACCTCAGGGCCTAGAGGACAATGTCTTGACAGCCCGAAGCCCACAGTCTGGCTTTTAGTCACCCTAACCTCCATCTCCCCGACCACCGTTCTCATTACTCTACATTCTACAACATCAACATTCTCTCTGAGCTAATCTTCAACCTCTCAGCCCAACACACAACAATCATATGTCAGCAGAAGCCTGGGCAGGACTGAGCTGGAGGTGGGCTGTGCCCCCACCCCCTACTGACACAGACCAGCCTTCACGGGTCTGGAAAGCTTCCCAGGAGACATGACCTCGGCTCAGCCTTAAGGACAAGTACAAGTTAGTCAAGTGGAGCTTTCCAAATAGAGAACAGAGTACAAAGGCCTGGTGGTGAGAGCATGGTGTATTTGAGGAAGGCTGGATCTTAGAGGATGTGGAAGGGAGGAGAAAAGTGTCACGACATGAGAGTAAAGAGGAAGATCATTATGACATGCTAAGGAGATTCAGGCTTGATCGTGAGGGCAATAGGTTTTAAGGGTAGAAGCAGAGGGTGAAGATGATCAGATGAGCACTTAGAAAGCTTCATTCATGCAATAAATATATGTATTGAGCACCTACCAAGTTCTAGGAGTACAGTGGTGAGCAAGACAAAGCCTCGGCCTTCCTTGAGTTTTATTATAGAGGTAGAGACACACTAGGTACTGCAAAACGATTTAATCATAGTCACGACGACCATCATAGACACAGGAAGTACTAAGAATTCATTCATTCATTCATATTTGTTATGTGCCTATATGCCAGGTGCGGAGAATATGGCAGTGAACCAGACAGACATGAATCCCTCTACTCATGGGGCTTACAGTCTAGTGGCAAGAAATGGACAAAAAACCCAAAACAAATAAAATACACTGTACATCAGATGGTAATAAGTGCTATGGTGAACGGTTAAGCAGGGAAGGATAAGAAGTGCCTGAAGGGCGGGGCAAGGAATGTAATTTTAAACTGGGCGGTTAGGGAAAACCTCACTGAGCAGATGATGTTTGGACAAAGACCTGAAGGAAGTGATGGAGCAAACCACGTGGATCTCTCAGGCTAAAATGTACCAAATGAGGGACTAGCAAGTGCAAAGATCCTGAGGCAGGAGTGTGCCTGGCAGGTCTGAGGAACAGCAGGAAGGCCAATGGCTGCAGCAGAGGAAGTGAGGGGGATAAAGTAGGGGCCAGATCCTAACCAGGGCCTTGTAAGGAGACTGTGAGAAAACCAGCTTTTAGTCTGGGATAGGAAGCTATTGGAGAATTTTAAATGGAAGAATGGCATAAACTGACTTATGCTCTAAAAGGATCACTCTGGCTGCTGTGACGAGAAAAGACTGCAGAAGGGCAAGGTCAGAAGCAAGGAGACCAGTTAGGAGGCGGCTGCAGTGACCCAGGCGAGAGATGATGGTGGTCTGAACCAGGGCAGAAGCAATGTCTAAGAAGTGTTCGGATCTTGATTAATTTTGAAGGCAGAGTCAATGTGATTTGCTGACAGATGGGATATAAACTATTAGAAAGAGAAAGAAGTCGAGGATGGCTCCAAGATGTTTGGCCTGACCACCTGGAAGACCGGATTGCCATTCATTTAGATGAAGAAGGCTGCAGGAGCAGGATTGAACAGGAAGATCATGAGTTCGTTTCTGGACACTTTAACTGTGAGATGTTCATCGGACAATCGCGTGAAGATATGGAGTAGGCAAGAGGCTACCCAAACAAGTCTGGAGAGAGAAATGGGAGAGCTACCGAGTCATCAGCCTATGCACTTAAAGGGCATTTAAAGCCAGGAGGTGATGGACTGCTTGGGAGTGAGTGTAGACAGAAAAGGGAAGAGCCCTGGGGCACTCAGATTCTCAGTTGTGAAGATGAAAAGGAACTTACAAAGGAGAATGGAAAAGAGAGCCAATGAGCTGGGCAGAAAGCAGAAGTGGTGCCCTGGAAACCAAAGGAAGTGTTTCGAGGAGGAGGGAGTGTCACATGCTGCCAAGTCAATTTAGGTGGGCTCATAACTGACCCCTGAACTTAACATGGAGCTGGAGACGAGGCTCACAACCTTGACTAGAGCAATGGCGTGGAGGGGCCACAGCAGGCGGTGGAGGTGGGGGTCTGGAATGGATTGAGGAAAGAATAGGAAGAGAGGAACTACAGACAGTGAGTATTAACTCTTTTGAGTTTTGTTGTAAAGCAGAGCAGAGAAATGGGGTGGTAACTGGAGGAATATGTAGATCAAGAGTTTCTTCTGAGACAGGAGAAATTATAGCATAATTATACACTTATTTATACATATATATTATATATACACACATACATATATATGTGGAATGATCCAGAGAAAAGAAAAAACTGATAACACAGGAGAGACTTGGGGGGGTCGTTTGCTGGAACAACATCTCTAAGAGGTGAGAAGGTTCGGGGTCTCGTGACAAGTGGAGGGCTTGACCTTAGCTAGAACATGGCATGTTCACCCATGGTAACAGGAGAGAAGGCAGCTCATACAGACAGTTAGGTGAGCAGACGCTGTGATGGGAACATGTGGACATTTTCTGTGAGAAAAGAGAAGAGACAGAAAGAGACAGGAAACAAAGTCATCAGCTGAGGGTGAAGATAGGTGGGCTGGCAGCTGGAGGTTTGAAGGGCAAGAGGGTAAGACACACGTTTAGGAGGGCGGAAGAATGAGTGGAGGAGGGGAGGGTAATAGGCTTGCTAGGCAGCGCGCTTAAGGGCACACCTGAGGTAGTGACACAAATTTAAAATGAAACCAGTCAACATGGTTGTGTATATACTAGGAGGGCCTAAGCTAGCCTGGGAGTGGGAGTGTCAGGGAGGCCTTCCAGGGGCCGAGCACTGCAGGATGCATATGCATTAACTGGGGGGCACAAGGATTTCAGACATGAGAGTACGGCCGGCCGTGTATGGCTCCAAGGCAGGGAACATCCAGATAGGCTGGAGGAATGGACAGAAGGGCAGTAGGGCAATAGGTAGCATAAGGAGGGTAGGAGGGATGGGGGAGGCACAGAGGAAGGCTAGAGAGGGAGGCAGGACCTTGGAGGCCACACTAAAGGTGTTGGTTCTATTCTGAAAGTAACAAGAAGCCATTGGGCAAGGAGTCGAAGCACAAAGACAAGTTTGAGCAAACGTAGTAGTCCAGGCAAGTGATGGTGGCGCGTGGACTGTGGAGCCATCAGTGTCGATGGAAAAACGTGAAAAGATTTAAGAGATTTCTAGGAGATAAAATCAATAGGACTTGAATCATGGACATAGGGGTGAGAAAAAGGGACAGGTCAAAGGTGATATCTAGGTTCCCCACCTGCTGGATGGTGGTCTGATTCACTGAGATGGGGAAGCCTGAGGGAGAAAAGGTTTGGTGAGGAAAGATCACAAGATCTAGTTTGGGCACACCAAACTTCCCCATAGGAAAGCTTGAAGACATTTGTGAAAATCCCGGGAAGAGACGGCCTGAACTAGAGACGGTGGGGAGAGGAGACAATTGGGTAAGTATTAAGGACCTATGACCCACAAGATTGGCTCATTATCACTGGAGAGGGCAAGGGACAAGATGACACCCAGATTTCTGGCTTGGCAGCTGAATAGGGAGCAAAGGAGGAGGAGCCAGTCTGGAAGCCAGTGAAAGTAGGTGTTCCCGTCCATATTACATGCCTTTTCTCCCATTTTAGCATAAGTGCCCACCTCTCATCCACCATCCTTCATGGAAAACTGCTGTTGACTCTCCCTCGGTTCTTTCTGAGGCCGCTGTGTTCACACTGTTCACCTCCTCCTCAGACAGAGCCTCTCCTTGATGGATTCCGGGGGTCAAGGGGACCATGGCCAGAGCATGTCCACTGGCTCTGCACATATCCTGCCACAGTTCTCTGGCTGGAATGTCTTCCCTCTCTTCCCCACTAGACCATAATCTCCCCAGGGAGAGGAAATCTGCCTCACTCATTGTCGTATCCCAGTACCTGGCATGATTCTTGGCACACTGAGGACTCCAAATACATGTCGGTTGAATGAACAGAAGAATGAACACCTGCCTCTGGGAAGACTTCCCTGAGTGTGACCTAGTTGTGTCCCTATGAACAAGGACATGTTCATTTGCATTTCTAAGGAGATGACATCATAAGTGGGTTTTGTTTTTGTTTTTTGGTGAGGAAGATCAGCCCTGAGCTAACGTCCATGCAAATCCTTTTTGTTGTTGTTGTTGTTGAGGAAGACTGGCCCTGGGCTAACATCTGTGCCAGTCTTCCTCCACTATTATATGGGACACTGCCACAGCATGGCCTGAAAAGTGGTGCATTGGTGCGCACCCGGGATCCGAACCCAGGCCCCCAGCAGCAGAGTGTGGGCACTTAACCGCTATGCCACCGGGCCAGCCCCCGTCACAGGTGTTTTTAAATGAGTGTTTTCGGTGTGAGGTTTTGCCTGCCCGTTAGATTATAAATTAAGAACTGTTTCGTTTGTAGTTTTTGGTTCTTGACAAAAATGAAGCAAAATTTTCCTTATCTTTTCCTTCCCCAAGTCTGCGGGGCCTAATTCCTACTCCACTTCCCACAAAACACACCCAACTCTCAGAAACTCATAAGCTTGTTTTTCCCACGCAATCAAAATCTAAAATATATTCATAATAAAGTCATAAAGCACTCAAGAGTTTTCATACCCGCAGGCTGCTCCCCCTACAGGGTGCCCCTATATATGCATTTTGACAGAAGTCCACGTCCAAGGCAAAGGAGATTTTAAGTGACAGCGTTGTCCATGAAATAAATCACAAAGAGCAAAAATGTAGAAAAAAATTCCTACCAAAGGCTGCCCAATTTTTATTTCCTGCCCCCAAATCTACCACCTTGGGTGCTTAACAGCCAATCAGCGCTGTCTGGCACACAAAGGCAGGCAGACACACACACAAAGAATGCTTGTTTAAAAAGAAGAGACTGGGCTGCTCTCTAACCATTCCCCTCTCCCAAGAACCCAGAAAGTGACAATTTCTCCACATCCCCGTACCCCCAACCCCTTCCCGCCGCATAGCTCACGCACCCTGCAGCGCTGCCAAGATCCCCACGATGCCCGTCCCTGCGCCCAGTTCGATCACTTTTTTGCCTCGGAAATCCACATTTTGACTTTCGAAATAGTTGCACAGGCTCAGAGCCTATGAGAGAAAAGAGAGAAAAAGAGACTGTCGCGGGGATGGCTCCATATGGGAGAGGGAGAGTCCGGGTTCCGGACCTCCCGCAGACCCTCGCCCAGCGCCGCCCACTCCTCACCGCGTCCCACACGCGCGCTGCCACCCCCAGGCGGGACCCGAAGTTCTGTGTGATGTTCAGGACGTGTCCACAGAAACAGAACCGGCTCTTCTCCGAATAAGAGTCGGCGAAGAGCCCAACCTCCCGCGGGAACACGGATTCGGGCTCCGATTCAGGATCTGGGCGCGGGTCCGCCATGTGGACGCCGCGGCCAGCGCTCGGATCCGGATCTGTAGCGGGGTGGGGGGCGGGGGCCGCGGCCGTCTCGGCCTCCCAGCGGCACCGAGCCCCGCCTCCCCGAGTTTGCCCTCCTTCCTCCAGTTTGACTTCCCGGAGGTGGAATGAGGAGCTGCCCCTCCCGCTCCGGTGCCCAGCGCACACCAGACGGGACTCACGCCGGACCACGCGGGTCAGCCCCGGCGGACCGGTCCGAGACCGGGGAGAGGGGAGAGGGGGATGATTAATTCTACCGTAGGAAGCGGGGTCCCAGACCCCTCTCACCTGCGGGGTGCACAGGTGCCTGCAGCCAGGAAGGTAACCCAGACTAGGCAGAGCAAGCTAAGGAAAGAGGCTGGGCGCCGGGTCTGGCCTTGCCGGCCCGGTTAAAGACTAGCGGGGTGGAGGCGCCCCCCTGCGCCGGGCCCCTCCCGTCCTCCCGGTCCTCGCCGCCCTGCCCTGCCCTGCCCAACTCGCCCTTGGCTCTTTAAGGGGCGGGGTCTGCTCTCAACGTGACTCACTGCGTCATCGTCGTGCGCCCCGGGCCTCGGACGTGGGCTCGGTGGAGAAACTCCGGATTGGGGATCATGGCGGGAGCCGAGGCTGGGGATGGGGCCGGAGCCGAGGCCCCACAGCCCCAGAAGCGCTACTATCGGCAACGTGCTCACTCCAACCCCATGGCGGACCATACGCTGCGCTAGTGAGTGAGCAGGGGGAGAAAAGGAAGGGCGGAATTCTCAGAACAGCCCGGAGCAGCCCGGGAGAGCGATTGCGCTGGCCCGGTGGGAAGGGTTTGGGGTAGACCCGGGAAGATCAGCGGAGTGACGTCAGCTGGGGGGGGGGTCGGGGATTTAGCGGAGGGCGGAGTTGGCGGGTTGGGAGGGGGCGTGGCGGTCAGGCCGAAGTCTGGGTAGCGGTGGAAGTCTGGGAAGAGAAAGAAATTTTTACTGAGACTAGAGTGATGGAGGCAGAATGTCGTTGCCATTTCTCAGTTTCGTTTGTTGGATTTAACAAAAGTACGAACGTATACACAATCCCGCCCACGCCTTACTCCATCCTCTTCCCACAGAGAACACAGACAAAGTAAGGTCCCAGGGCCTTAGGCAGCCAGTCTGTGGGGAAAGGGGAACTTGTGCCCCAGAAAGGAGAGCTGCCTGGCCGGAGTCATATCAACCCCTAGAAATGGAGATGGGCAGGTCAGCAATCATGGGCCTCATGATGGGCCTATGATTCACACTGGGGGTTAACGGTGGTTTCCATTGTGTCTCCGAGAGGCCACAGGGCCCACGGTTACCGAATTTTCGAGAAACCTTCCTCCCATCTACCTCCCACCCATACCCATCCACCCACCCACACTTAGTACCACTTCTGCAACAGTATGACCAACCTTCTCACACTTCTCACATCTTCTCTCCAATAGCCCTGTGAAGCCAGAGGAAATGGACTGGTCTGAGCTATACCCAGAGTTCTTCGCCCCACTGACTCAAAATCAGAGCCACGATGACCCAAAGGATAAGAAAGAAAAGAGAGCTCAGGCTCAAGTGGAGTTTGCAGACATAGGCTGTGGCTATGGTGGCCTGTTAGGTAACACTCGGGCTCTTTCTCTGGGGCAAGGAGAGGCAACACCTAGGTTCTGCCACCTCAGCAGGTTTGGTGGGGGCCATAGTTGGCCTTTCGCCTTCGGACCAGACACTGGTGCTGTGACATCATGTGAAGAACCTCCACCTTCCTTCTACTCTCAGTCGGTAGCCTTTGTCCTGGAGAAGGGAGGGGGCTGCCTCCAATGCCTCTTAGAACTTGGGTTGTCCTGTCAGGCCCCACCCCTGGCCCCAGTCCCTGCGTGAGCCATTTCACCTGCCAGGTGCCGGGTCAGTGAGCTGGTCAGCACAAGCATCAGAGATTAGTCACTGTAGCTAGTGATCCTGAACTGTCTTTCTCAGGATTCCACCACGCCTCTCCCCCCTTCCTCACCAGCACTCATTGCTCCACTCGCCTTTGCGAGTTCCTCTTGTATTGTCTGTACCATCCCAGCCGTGCATGCCAGGCCACTTCTCTGTTTTCAGGTTACCTTCCCCTGGAGGTAACAGCGGGACAGAGAGGAGAAGCATGGTGCTTGGTGGCAGAAAACCTTGGTTCAAGTTCCAGTTCTCCCTCTTCTTAGCTCTGTGACCTTGAGCATTTCTGACCCTCAGTTTCCTCATCTTCACAATTTACACAAAGTGTTATGAGGATTAAATGAGACAACGTGTGAAAACTCTAAAGCACTTGCAAATACACATATATTCCCAAGCCCTCCCTCTTCCAGTCCTGGTGACAATTTTTGGATCTCCCCCAGCCCCCTTCTCCAGGATGGAATGGTCCATTTGGGAATCTCTCTGTCTACACTTGCCATTCCTGATTGTGGTAGTTGCAGACTGAGGCTTCCTTTCCTGTGTTGACCCCTTTGCATGTCCTGCAATTATGAAGTTGATGATTCCATTCCTATTTCTGTGTCCAGTGGAACTGTCACCGCTGTTCCCAGACACGCTGATTCTGGGTCTGGAGATCCGGGTGAAAGTCTCAGACTATGTACAAGACCGGATTCGGGCCCTACGAGCAGCTCCGGGAGGTGGCTTCCAGAACATCGCCTGTCTCCGTAGCAATGCCATGAAACACCTTCCTAACTTCTTCCGCAAGGGCCAGGTGGGGAGGGGCCCTGGTGGGTAGGCTGGTAGACAGGCGGGGCGTGGAGGCCGGGCTCTCACCACCCTGTCGGTGCGTGTCTGTCTCACAGCTGACAAAGATGTTCTTCCTCTTCCCTGACCCACATTTCAAGCGGACGAAGCACAAGTGGCGAATCATCAGTCCCACACTGCTGGCAGAATATGCCTACGTGCTGCGAGTTGGGGTGAGTCGGGAGTGGGAGGGAGGGTGGGGTGAGTGGCCTATTCAGGGACCTTCCACTAAGAATTTAGTGGGGGTGCATTTAGGACTCATACCATCCCTCCCATCATCTCGCGGCTCAGTTGCACGTAGCCCCCTGTCTAGGGTTATTTTGCATGTGCAGGGGCTGGTATACACCATAACAGATGTGCTGGAACTACACGACTGGATGTGCACCCATTTTGAAGGACACCCCCTGTTTGAGCGAGTGCCTCTGGAGGAGCTGGTAAGTAGGGGGCCTGAGGGAAATGACGAAGATGCAGGCCCTGTCCAGAGTGGTTCTGTATTCTTTGACTGCAGCTCGGTGCCAGGAGGATGGGATGGGAGTCTCTGGGCCAGAGGCAGTCTGAAAGGTGGGCAAGGACTGATTAGACCTTTCTTTTTCCCAGAGTGAAGACCCCATTGTGGGACATCTGGGCACCTCAACCGAGGAAGGAAAGAAAGTTCTACGCAATGGAGGAAAGAATTTCCCAGCCATCTTCCGAAGAATACAGGATCCCACCCTCCAGGCAGTGACCCCCAGTCCCACCCCTCCTGGTCACTGACTGCTTACTGTGCCTTAGCTGGACCACATCTTCCAGGGACTAGAAAGAAGATCAGGACCCCTGGACTTTCCCAGCTGAGACTACTGGGGCTGAGAGGCAGCAGACCCTCTCAAAGAAGTTGGGGAACTGCCCAGAGCAGAACTCTGGTGTTCACAACTACCCTCGACTCCTCTCACCTTCATGCCCCCCACTGCCACCGGAAAACGAAAGAAGCTGGTTGAGAAGGTCAAAAGACCTTGGACCAGGAGGGATGTTTGGAAGGGTACAGAGTCTTGCCCTCCCATAGCATTCCCTTCTCCTTCTGGGATCTCTCCTCCTCAGCTGGAGTGAGGAATCCCATTCTCCACTGTCCTTCTAAACTGCCTGCTAGGCTCAAATCACCTGTCCACTTGTGTTTCCTTTGCAGTGCTGGGGATAGATGGATGCGAGTGCACGTGCCCGTGCTGTTTTCTCAGGATGTGTGTATCATGTGCCTTCTCCCATCCTCCCATCCTCTCCCTGCCAAGACCTGACCTGGGGAATCTGCTCCCTTTTTTGTGGCTGTCTCTGGAGAGTCCCTGGGAGGGTGTGGGGGTGGAGACCCTCTCCTTTTTCGTGTTGACCTTCGGTTCCAGAACTTCAGAGCTGACTGGCTGGCATAGAGCCTGATGGGGGTGGGGTGGGGAGTGGGGGAGTGAGGAGCAGAGAGCTAAACTGTGGAGGATTCCGAGGCTAAAAGTAGAAAGGGGCTGCCAACTAGGAAGCCCCCCAAAGGGGACTGAGTCAGCTGGAGATTCAGAACACTCAGACCTTGGTCCATCCAGGAGCCCAGAGAACTCTGAACTTTTTCAATTTGCAAAAGGTTCCTTCATCTCTGCTCCTCAAGCCCAGAATTCCATGGCTGGAAGGACAGGGCTTGTTGACCTAAAGGACCCCTCCCCTCCTCAAGGAACAAAGGTTTCTAGAGCTATTTTAACCCATTAACCCACCGCTATCTGCCTAGGGTCCGGTACAGGGGGAGGGGAGATGTGGCAGCCCAGGAACATTGTGGTCACATACAGAGAAGGTGCAGCCAAGAACTTGGGGACAGCTACAGCTGTGCCTTTTCCCGTAGGAGTTGAGATGGGGAATTCCTGAGGATGGGCCCAGGGGACCTGGATCCCTGGGGAAGTGGTGGGAATACCAGGGACTGGCTGTATCTTGGTCACCTAAGCCTCACTAAATAGCCTTCCCCAGCAAGAGATCTTTAGGCTGCTGGACTAGGGCATCAGCCTGGGAGGAGAAATTGCTTCAGGCCTCCCCTCCCAAGAGGGTAATTGCAACATGAGCCCCAAGGGAGCCGTGAAGGCAGCCCCAGCCCCGCCTACTGTTTCTGGGTGCTAATCCCCTGCACGGACCACTCAGGAGAGGAGATTGGCTGAGGAGTTTGGAGGGGGGCGTTGCCACTACCTCCCCCAAGGGTTAAATAGGGGCTCAGGCAAGCGGGCAAGATGCTCAGGAGAAGAGCTCTCTGGCACGGGTTCCCTGAGCCACACCATGACCCAGACCCTCAAGCTCGCCTCTAGAGTGTTGCATCGCATGGGCTGTGCTCCCGAGCTGGGCACCTCGCTGGGCTCCAGAGGCTCCTACTCAGCGCCCCGGAGCTTGGCGGACATCCCAGGCCCCTCTACGCCCGGCTTCCTTGCCGAACTTTTCTGCAAGGGCGGGCTGTCGCGGCTACACGAGCTGCAGGTAGAGGGGGACGCTGTTCCCGGGACTGCATGCTGGGGAAACTGGCTTTGACAACGCCAGAAAGGACAAGCTAGTGCAGAACGTAGCAGGGAGGGGTGGTGAGAAGGGATGCCCATGAATTATGGAAATGACAAGTTGGGACTGGGGGCGGTGGCTCTACTGGCATGGAGTCCATCCCGACACCCAGCAGAGGAGTGCGCTCAAAAAGCGCTTTCTCGCTGTGCTGAAGTCTGGAGGCCGGGTAGGTCCAGGACAAGTGCGCGGGAGGCGAAAACGCACAGTACCTTCCCTGCGCGTTTGGCTTAAAGCTGCACGCGCTCCTATTCATTCGGCGGGGGCTCGCCCTGGACAGACCACGTGAGGAACCTTTAGGGATTTCTCCACCTCGGCTCGGCCCAAGTGACCAAAGAGAGGTCAGAAATGTCTGCTTTGTGCAACGTTCCTCCGTTTTGCCCATCACACTCAAACTTCCTAGGAATGGGAAGTGGGGGAAAGAGAAGGAGGAGAGATTTGCAGCATCAGGCCATACACTAGCTTGGGAGCTGGCGAAGGAGTAGATGCTCCCCCTTCCAAAACCCAGCCAACGCCCTTGGTGCTGGCACAAGGCACAATCTGGGAGTCCCCGGCCCGGGTCTCCGAGTGTCTGCTGCGCCGGTTTCCCCAGGTGCACGGCGCTGCACGCTTCGGGCCGGTGTGGTTGGCCAACTTCGGGACGGTGCGCACGGTGTACCTGGCGGCCCCTACACTCATCGAGCAGCTCCTACGACAGGAGGGGCCCCAGCCCGAGCGCTGCAGCTTCTCACCCTGGGCCGAGCACCGCCGCCGCCGCCAGCGAGCTTGTGGACTACTCACCGCGTGAGTCCTCTCTGGCTCCAAAGCCCAGACGTCCCGCTGTGTCCCTCTCCTGTGGCCGGCACGGAGAGTCTGTGTGGAGGTGTAGGGGGAAGTTAGCCATTTCCCCCAACCTTCTGATTCCCACTCTAGTCTGTTGCGCTCAAGTTCAGGTAGAGCCCCACACTCGCCCCCCGCCCGCCTCCTTAGCTTCTGAGGCCAGAATCCTGGGAACCGGCGGTAGGGGCTCTGGTACCAGAATCCAGATGGAACGTTAAGATTCTGTGACTCAGGTTACCCAGGAACCCAGGCCCCTCCGGGGCAGGAAATGAGTAAAGAGGAAGGGGAATGGAAAGCGGGCGCAGGCAGGGGCCGGTTTCTGAAGCCGGAGGGAGCAGACGCAATCTCTCTCCTGGCCACCCCAGCCGAACACAATCCTCTCCACCGAGGACAGCCCGGTCGGGCCGCCGCCGCGCACCCCCATCTGCACTGAGGCACCCCCTCTTCGCACCCCCGCAGGGAAGGCGAAGAATGGCAGAGGCTCCGCAGCCTCCTGGCCCCGCTCCTCCTCCGGCCTCAAGCGGCCGCCCGCTACGCCGGGACCCTGGACGACGTGGTCCGTGACCTTGTGCGACGACTGCGGCGCCAGCGGGGACGGGGCGCTGGGCCGCCCGCGCTGGTTCGGGACGTGGCAGGAGAGTTTTACAAGTTTGGACTAGAAGGTGAGTCCCAAGACGGTTAGGGGCAGGCGTAGGATGCACCCGGCCCGGGTCTCCCCTGACAGCGCCCCCTCCCGGCCAGGCATAGCCGCCGTGCTGCTGGGTTCGCGCCTGGGCTGCCTGGAGGCCGAAGTGCCCCCAGACACAGAGACCTTCATCCACGCGGTGGGATCGGTGTTTGTGTCCACGCTGCTGACCATGGCGATGCCCCACTGGCTGCACCGCCTCGTGCCCGGACCCTGGGGCCGCCTCTGCCGGGACTGGGACCAGATGTTTGCATTTGGTAAGGCACAGAAATAGGTGGAGACGGGGGAAACGTAAAGCTGTTCTGGAGGAGTGAGGCATCCCTCTACCTTCTCCCGGTGCAGCCCAGCAGCACGTGGAGCAGCGCGAGGCCGAGATAGCTGTGAGGAGCCAGGAAAAGCCTGAGGAGGACATGGGATCTGGGGCGCACCTAACCTACTTCCTGCTCCGGGAAGAGCTGCCTGCCTCGTCCATCCTGGGGAACGTGACGGAGCTGCTACTGGCCGGGGTGGACACGGTGAGGGTCTCCCTTCAAGTTGCGAGCCCCACTTCCAGACCTTAGCCTCCCGTCTCAGGGGCCATTTTGCTGCTGCAGGGGATCCATGATGGCCTTCTACGCCAGCTTGGCTTAGCACCTTCTGGGCTCCAGACTGCCTCAGATTCTGCCCCCTATACTGGGTCCTCACTCTCAACACCTCTGATGCTCTCACCTGTCCCCTCAGGTGTCCAACACGCTCTCCTGGGCTCTATATGAACTCTCTCGGCACCCCGAAGTCCAGGTGGCCCTCCACTCTGAGATCACAGCTGCCCTGGGTCCTGGCTCCAATGGCCACCACTCAGCCACTGCTCTGTCTCGGCTGCCCCTGCTGAAGGCCGTCGTCAAGGAAGTGCTGAGGTGAGGGGGCAGGAGAGGAGGAGCTGGAGAAAATGCTGGGGAAGGGCTGGGGAAGCTGATAGTGGACGGGGGCAGGGAGAGGGAGCAGAGGAAAATGGTACTCCCCTCCTGGCCAAGAATGGGTTTGGAAGTTGAAGGGGGATGAGAGAGAGGCTATAGCCCCCAGCCTCACCTTGCAGTTTCTCTCTTGTGCCCTGCAACCCAGACTGTACCCCGTGGTACCTGGAAATTCCCGTGTCCCAGACAAAGATGTTCGTGTGGGTGACTATATTATCCCAAAAAATGTGAGTAGAGCCTATGGGCCCCCTTTGCTAAGCCATCCCTCACTATCTTGGGCCTGGTCCTGTTCTCAAACACTCCCCATAGGCCCTTCAAACCCTCCCTTTGGCCTGAATGCCTCTCTCCAGGATGTAATGAGGCAGTGGGGGAATCATTCCAAAAGCAGCCCCAGAAAACTTCCCCATCACCAACCAGAGCCTGCCTTTGCCCTGGTCTGTATATCCTCTTCCCATGGCTCTCTGTGCTTTCGTGGGCCCAAATTGACAAGTTTGTGTTCCTCCTCCGCCAGACGCTGGTCACACTGTGTCATTATGCCACTTCAAGGGACCCAGCCCAGTTCCCAGAGCCAAATTCTTTTCGTCCAGCTCGCTGGCTGGGGGAGAGTCCAGCCCCACACGCATTTGCATCTCTTCCCTTTGGCTTTGGCAAGCGCAGCTGCATGGGGAGACGCCTGGCAGAGCTTGAGCTGCAAATGGCTTTGGCCCAGGTGAGTAATCTGGACATACTGTCCCCAAACGGGAGAGACCCTAACCCTCAAAGCCGTGAGCTCTTCTGACAGCATAGGAAAACATATGAGACTTGGTAGACCTAATTCTCTGAAATATGGCAACCCCATTACAGGCCTGGAGGGTGAGCGAGGGTTTTTGGACTATCTCTTTCCTGACCATAATCCCTCCCCCTCATTAACCAAGAAGTCCTCTACCCACTACAGGTGCAATTCCAACCTTGACCCCCCCAACACTCATAACGCCCTTTACCAATCAAGCCCACCGTTGTAGACCCCTCCACAGTGAGAGCCTTCTTCCTGCCTTTCCAGATCTTGACCCACTTTGAGGTGCAGCCTGAGCCAGGTGCTGCCCCAATCAGACCCATGACCCGGACTGTCCTGGTACCTGAGAGGAGCATCAACCTACAGTTTGTGGACAGATAGTCCCGTGGAAGGAGGCTGTCATCATTGCTCTTCCTCTCATCATAGGGGTTTATTAGACACAAGACCAAGAGATGCGCATTCCCCCTGAGGCCTGTCTGTCTGACCAAACTGGTTCGAGTGACCATAGCAAACTGCTTGAGGCAGGCCTGACCAAGGTGTGAAGTATGCGCGTGGCCTGACCCAGCAGGCCCCCAGAAAACCATGGTCCCTCTGCCTGCTCAGCTCTTTTCCTTTCATATCATATGCATCCTCCCAGGGCCAACTCAGATTTTAACTAATAATGCTGGGTGGTCTGAGGAAGGATTCAACCACTGCCCTTTTGGGGGTTCTACAGTGTTCACTGATGCTGCTGGCTAAGCAGCATTTGTCACGGCATGAGCTAAGTAATCGAGCATCTGGTCTGCACCTGGTTGGTCCTCTCTCCTTGCATGTGAGCTCTTTGAGAAGAAGGATGAGGCCTTATTTGGTCTTTATATCCCCTGCCAGGGCCTATCTCTGACTAGGTGACACCATACAGATTCTCAGATTGAATCTGGACCAGGTGGCAGAAGGGATGAGCAGCTTACCACGCTCTGTCTGTCCTCTTCCTTTCTCATCTTGCCCCTAGGAAGGTGAGTCTGCCCTTGCCTGGTTTATGATTTTTTTAACTCTCCTTGGCTCTCTGGTCACTATTAGGTTGGCTTGCCCCACCACTTATTTCCCAGGCAGAGACATCTTTGGGCCTGTTCCTGCCCAAGCCTTCCTTTTATATATTGAAATTTTTTAATATTCATAGTTTTGAAATAAAAGAATCAAATGTTCCATCCTTGACTTTTGACTTAACTTCTCTCCCACTCCCCCTTCCTACAAGTCCTGGAGGCAAGACCCTCACTCAAACTCCCCACCGAGGTTTCTCAGGTCCTGAGAGTGACTCCCAGAACAATGGGAGGTCTAGACACCTGGGAGAGCGGTTTGCATCACAAACCCAGACACGTGGGCCGGCCCCGTGGCTTGGCAGTTAGGTGCCCGTGCTCCGCTGCTGGCGGCCCGGGTTCGGATCCCGGGCGCGCACCAAGGCACCGCTTCTCCGGCCATGCTGAGGCCGCATCCCACATACAGCAACTAGAAGGATGTGCAACTATGACGTACAGCTATCTACTGAGGCTTTGGGGGAAAAAAGAGGAGGAGGATTGGCAATAGATGTTAGCTCAGAGCCGGTCTTCCTCAGCAAAAAGAGGAGGATTAGCATGGATGTTAGCTCAGGGCTGATCTTCCTCACAAAAAAAATAAATAAATAAAACAAACCCAGACACGTTTCTGTCTGTAGTGGGAACAGCCAAGTCTGGCTCCCTGGAAGAGATTAAGGGGGTGGTGGTGAAAAGCAACTGCAAGGGTGAGGCTATAAAAATGGGGGGGGGGAGCTGGGGATTTGCAGAGATGGCCAGAGGCGGCTGACTCTTTAGTGGAAGAGCTTTTGGAACCTGGACTGCAGGGACCGAAGGGTGTCCTAGAATGGCCACTCTGCCCTCTCTGAAAAAGTTGCTCAAAGGTAACTTCCTTCAGAGAAAGGGATACAGGCAGAGAAGTGAAGTCAGACACACAGGCTGCAAGCCAAGTGTGGGGGTGGCCAGAGCCCTGGGGCACCAAGGCAAGAAGAGGGGGGTGGGCAGAGGGAGCCCGTTTCCCTGAGTCAGCCCTCTCTGGCCCCCCAGAGGCTGGGCTCAGTTCTCCCCTTGTGGTGTATACAGATTAACTAATTTTCCATACAAATAAATCTCTCAGCACACTCCCCATAGCTCCCTCTGTAGCCTAGATTGCCCTCCCATGTCGGGACTTGCCCCCCTTCCTCAGGAACTGCTCCCCTCCATCCCGATGAGCTGGATGGAGATGGAGATTTCACTTCACACTTCCCCCTCCGCCCCACCACCTCAGCCCCCTGCCCTAGACATGGCTCCCTGAGCACAGAAATTCCATTAGCCACCAGCCTTCTGGGGGGATCTATTTATGTAAGATCTACAGAGGGGCAGGATAACCTGAGGTCCTGTGCAGACACCAAGATTTGTGTGTCTTTCCTGCCCTACCTCTCACTCCTTCTCCATTGTACTCTCAGTCTCCACCCCGACTCCCTTATCACTAAGCTCAACTTGAACCTGTGACCTGACTTTTAGATTTGAGCTTTCAGGGAGAATAAAGCCCAGCTTCCTTTCAGACCCTTTCCCCTAGAATCAGTGATGAGGAATCTGCACACCCACACTCCTCAAGGGGCAAGTAGGACTGAGGAGGGCAGCAGTTCCTATGACCCCTTTCCTGGACAAGAATCTCTTTAAGTTGGAAAAAGGGAAGGAGAGAGGACCACGCTGATTGCTTGTCCCAACCCCCTTACCAAGACCTCCAATGGTGCTGAAAGGGAGAGGTATGTATTGTCTCACTTGGCCTGAGTGAGGACCCAGAATAGAAATGGAGATAGTGTGTTTGTGTGTGTATGTTCTTGGGTATGTCTAAGCTTCCATGTGGGGCCATTGCGGGGGACAGCCCAGGCTTGGCACAGGAAACCCCACCTCTGTCATACCTACCTGAACACTATCTGCCAGGATAGGTACTAGTCGTCACTTTGATTTGCTGTCTCCTTTCTGGTCCCCACAAGCTATTCTGTGAATAGCAAATCAGTAAAGTCTGGCGCTTCTGTCTTTCCAGGTGGGGAATGTGGAGGGTTATCTCTGGCAAAACAATTTCCCACCTGAAAAAGGCAGGCTCAGGCTCAGTCCCCTCTCCACTTTGATCTCCTCAGAGGTTGGAAGTGATACACTTCCACACTTCCAGGTGACTCAAACCTGAGTCCAGCTTTGGTTCCTCCTCTCCCAGGCAAGTCTGGTGCCAGCACCATGGACAGCAGCCAAGACCCCTTTTGGAGAGGGTAGGGGATGACCATTTCCTGGGCAAGGATATGTGACCTTTAGTAGAGAAGCATTTTCCCCAAAACTTCCCCAGGGAAGAGGCAGAGCAGAACCTTCCCTGAGAGAAGGACCAATAATAGGAAAGTCTTCTGGATCTGACTTTAGCAATGTATGAAGTAATTATTTTAATTGCTGATGAACAGTTCACTTAAAAGACACCATCATTCATATAATACACAGCCCCAAGGCCTCAGGAGAAAGGGACCAGGCTTCAGGCTGACCCACATTTTAACCAGTCCTTCCCAAACCTTTCCTCTAAATAACTACACTGCTGCCTCCAAGGACAACACCTTCCAGTTGATGCCATCAGCTGGGGCACAGCAGGATCAGAGCTGTGGCCCTGAACTGCCATAGGAGTGGTTTAAACTGGGGTTGGAGACTCATAACATTGGCGGATTCTGTCCATTTCACTCCAAACGAGTCCAAGTTCACTTCACACCACTTCTCTGGGTGAGCACATTACCTGGGAAGGACTAATAGCACCCACACAATCCCCAGAGCGAGAAGGATAGCTCCAGCTTCCCCTAGCCCCTAGTGTTCAGGGGGTTGGAAGAGCTCTCATTCTTGCAGATAACCACCATCCTTCACATCTGCATTTCCCTCCAAATTTCCATATCTATTATGACACTCAACACGAATTTCCAAGGCTTTGTGCAACTCCAGATGAAAAACACATTTTAGAATTTGTTAACCAGCTACTATTTGAAATAAATGGACCATCAACTAATCTAGAAGTCTTTTTATGCCATCACTAATTTTCTTTGCAATGGCATTCAACCTGTCCCTCATTTATCCTTATTCCAACCCTATGAGGTAGGCAGGAAAACCACGGTGGAGAGGTTTTTTTAAAATCACACAACTTGCAGGTGGCAGGTCCACCCCTTAGATACCTCTGAGCACTGCCACCTAGCAGCCAGTGTGAATTATTCACCAGCGAGTAGGAGTTCACCTCCAACTCAGAACCCACTGCTGCGTTTGGGATTTGCAACTTCTGCAGACAAACCTCCCCACACCTCCCAACCCTCCAGAAAATCCCCAGATGAGAAAGGAGTCTCCACGTGCATATAAATGATTCTTTATGCCCTCCCCCCATGCAATGGGGGGCGGAGCAGGGGGAAGTCCCCCCCCGCCCTCATGCAGGGAACGGGAGGTCAATGTATACTAGTCTTATTGCCAGCTGCCCTGTGGCCATGGGGGTGGGGAATGGGGGGTCTACAGCCCCTTTCTTCTGGCATTGGTCCCCCTTCACCAAGTCACCATGGTGGAGCTGGGGGGCTGGAGGCCCTAGGAGCTGAGGTAAGGACGGTTCTCTAGGGAAGAAGAGCTGTTCTCCCCACCTGCCCACTGGCTGCCCCAGGATGAGTGTGAGGAGCTGTCAGTGGGGGCTGGAAGGTCATCCAGGTGTCTCTACCCAGCAAGCAGTAGAGGCCAGACAATGTCTCCAGCTCGAGGCTGCCCACAGAGATCCTCAGTGGTAGGGGCAGTGTGCCCCAAACACCTTGTCCAGGTGGTACCTCCAGCAGCCATGACAGCTCATCTCTGGCCGATGCATTGACTCAAGATCCCTGCTCCTGGAGTCCAGTTCAGACTGTGGTGACCCTCATCACAACTTCACGGCCAGAATGGGAACTGGAACGGGCATCTGGTGGCCGCAGCTGTCCAAGGAGGTGCAGGATTGTATAACCACAGCGCTGAGGCAAGAGCGTCCGCATGCGCTGGGCAGCCAGGGGGCGGTTGGTGGCCCCAGAGGGGGGGCCCGTCCGTGAGGTCCTGGGGCCCGGCTTCCCTGCCGTCCCTCCCCCTGCATCTCCTCCTATGTCCTTGGTTTTGTCATAATTCAGGACCTTCCACTGCTGGTTCACTGCCTGCCAGCGCTTGAAGATACGGTAGACAGAGGAGCCTTCGTGGACGATGAGGCCTGAGCAAGAGGAATAAGAAATCCAGGGTCAACTGCTGCCCAGACCTAGGCCAGAGGCACTTAAGTAAGCATTCCTCCAGAGTGAGGAGACAGGGTTGCAAAGGGCCTGGAGAAGAAGGGAAGGGAGGGGGCCCAAGATAGTCCTAAAGGCTCCCAATGGTAGAAAATGTGGACATGAAGCTAAGGGAATGGGCAGGGAAAGTTAAGTACGTGAGTTGGAGGAAGACGCTGAGCAGGTAAGGGGGAGAGAGGTGCCCTCACCTATGCAGACAACATCCATGAAGCCGTACATGCCGTAGCAGATCTGAAAGAGCAGATCCTGCCGTTGCCACTTGGCTGAAGGGCTGAGTGACGACCAGATGAGCCAGGAGATGCTGGCGACGAGGAAGAGAGAGCCTAGCACTATGGCAGCAATCTGGACCTTCTCGATGACCGTCAGGGAGATGGCCTGCCACTGTGTGGGAGAAAGGGCTTCAAAAAGTCACAGAAAGAGATGGAGGTCTGGGTGATGGGTGGCCCTAAGAGGAGGAAGCCCCAGGAGCCTTCTTGAAACCCTTCAGGCAGGATTAACATCTGTCTCCTCTGTGCCCTGATGAAAGCTAGTATGTGGCACTTCTCATGTTGCTTGAGACCATTTGTCTGTCTCATTTTAGAGAGGCAGGGTCAGGCAAGTGCTCTGAAGCCAGACCATCTAGGTGTGAATTCCAAATCCTAACTCCATCACCTACTGGACGAGTAACTTTGGGCAAGTTTTTAAATCTCTTTGTGCATCAATGTCCTCATCTTTAAAATGGGGCTAATAAATGGTACATAACAAGATTATTATGAAGATTAAAAGAGTGAATACACACTAAGAGTTTGACATATAGAAGACACTACATGTTTGCTATCACCATCATCATCATCATCATCATCTCCTTTTTCGTCGTCCCAGTGCCTAGAACAGTGCCTGGAATACAAGCGGCACCCAATAAATGTCTCTGTGAATAAAGGGAGGATTTACAGACAGGCGACTGTGGTAATGGTGGGGAGGGGTGACTTTGAGGAAACAGTAAATGGATGAACAATAGGCTCCCTGGAGGGTCCCTGATTCTGACTGCTGAAAGGCCCTTGCCCCAGTCTGAGAGCCCTCTCCTTGCACCTCACCTGCAGTGGGTTCTTGGTGCTGATCGCCAGGACCTGGTACTTGAAGTAGCAGAGCTCACAGCTCCAGGAGCCCCTCTCGCTGATCCAGCGAATGAGGCAGGGCTGGTGCGTGCAGCGCACTGAGCCGTCGCAGCGGCAGGGGCTCAGGAGCTCCCCCTGGAGGAAGAGTGAGGAGGGTCTCTCTCAGCTATCACCATGCCGACCCCACAGAGGGAAACCTCCTCTCCAGGTGAGTGATTCTTCCACCTTAAAAAAAACTCAGGCCTTTCACCCAGAACAGGGCAAGAGGCTAAGGATGCTGCAAAACGGAAAAAAGCTGGAGCTCAAGGTAAACTTCCCTGACCAAAGAGATGAGGAACAGAAAGGGATGGGGGACGGGGCTCTTCTCTTTCCCTAGAATTTGGGGAGGGTGCTCTTCAAGGCTTCCCAAATGGAAGTCTACCTCTTAGGATTTGGAGGGATGGGAGCCACGCCTTCCTCCCCAACCCCATCACTGTAAAGTACTTCACAGATGAGGTGTCGACTGGGGTGGGTCACCGTCCTCAGTTTCCAAGTATCAAAAAGAGGGAGAAATCCTAGGAATGGGAGTGGAGGGTGTTCCCCTTTAATTAACGAAGAATTTCTCGTGACACAGAGACACCCCCACCCCGCGCCCGGCACTATCCCGGGACAACTTCGTCCATAACATTTAAACAAAGAATACTCTTTGGAAGGAGATGAAAGTTGCGCAATGGGAAGTGAAGCTAAGTGCCCGAAGGAGAGAAATACTGAGAGAGGCAAGGGCGCCGGCTGGGCCCCGCCCTTCAAGGTGCGAACAGAAGCGCTGTCCTCTCTGCCCACCTCCGACACAATAGGCCCCTCAGCCTACGGAGACCCTGGGGTCAGACAAGTGGGGGAGAAAGGCTGTCCTCGTTGCTCGGTGAGAGGGATTTTGAGCCCTCCCAGGAGGAAGCCCCACCCCTTCCTGAGGACCCCTGACCCCCCTCCACCCCAAACATGCGCTCTAGGAGTCTCCAGCCAGCCCCCCAACCTCATTCCATCCCCACTCCGGGTCCTGGGTCCCGCCCAGCCTTCTCAGGCCCCGCCCCCTGTCCGCGGTCTCCCCGGGCGCCCCAGGTGCGCGCCCCCACCCCTCCCCGCCCGGCGGCGGGTCCGGGCCTCACCTGCTCCGGGCCTTGGAAGCAGATTCGGCACTGGGGGGTTCGGAGCCCGCTGTCCAGGCTGCTGCTGAGCGACAGGGCGTC